GGGTATTTGTAAAAAAGAGTATCATAAAAAGGTTAGTTGTGCAAATCCCCCAATTTTATTCATGATTTTTATTTTATAATAAATTATATTTTTTCAATTTTTAATTTATGTATGAATGTATTATGCCATTGAGCAATTTCATTGTCTAAAACATAAGGGTGAATAAAAGATTTTCGAAGATAATATTTTTAGCTTAAACTAAAGATAACAAAGTTCAATATAAATCGTAATATAGTAATTTGAAAATATTTTTAAAGAGAACATGTAGTTTTTTATAATTCGTATTTGAAAGATTTTTTAATGTATTCCTCAACGATGCTATAATTTATTTTAGAATATTTATGTTTATTTGCGTTGTTTATATGAATTTATTTACAAATGGCTATATTTGTATTTAACATCATATTTTAGATTGATGTTAATTTGAAAGAACTTTACCATCATATTAAATAATAATTAATTAATTTTCATAGTCTGAGAATGATTTTATGAAAAATTGAAAGTTAAGAAATAAAAAATTTAACAAAATGGTATAATCATGTTTTAGAGGATAATTGCTAAATTAAGATTTTTTAAAATATTTTAGCAATATTATGAGTAATGTTTTGGTGATTGTCAATTTGACATTACTAGATTTTTATAATTAACGTTTAATAACGAATTTTAAGATATATATATATATATATATATATATACGTTTATTTGATACTTCAAACCAAATAAAATCTCTTTCCAAATGAAATTAATTTCTCTTATTTTTTCAAAAAACAAGATTGGAAATTATTTTTTATAAGTTATAATAAATTTTAATTTTAATTTAATTTTAAATAAAGATAACCCGTCCATCGGACGGGTACTAAACTAGTAATTTATAACAATCTATATTTAATATGTTCCAATATTTAATATCTCTAATAATTAGACAATGATTCGGAACCATTATAAATAAGACTAATATATTTCCAATTATGAATGAACAAAAAACTCGTCTACACAAGAATCCAACATAGCATTCTTTAGGAGAATCCATCTAGAAAAATCAGTGGTCAAAATTATGTCGAAATATTGTTCTGAGAACTATTATCCCATTTGCGAATTTCAACAAATTAACTTCTAACCTAAACAAGAAGTTTTATTTTTTATTTTGAGATCATACTTCCATGCAACTATTCACAAAAAGTTGTAGATGCAAGGTTTTTGTCTGATGCAGTGGCTGACTAATACAGCACGTGATTCAGGATGTTGATGTTTTATGTGTGTGCTTGGGTTCTAGAAGATTTAAGAAGACATGATTGGAGGATGAATGAAAAGTAAAATTAACTATTCTAAGCTTGGAGAATTGGAGTTTGACAAGGAAAAGGAAAAGAGCAAAAAGGAAAAAGGCTTTTCCTCATGAGATTTGGAAAAGTTCTCTTATGTGATTTGGGAATCATGGTGGCTATATATAGAGGTGCTAGGCACGTCCTAGAGAAGGCAAGAGAGCAGAAGCATAAAGAATAATCTTTGAGAGCTTTCTTCTGGTTTTGTGTGCGGCTTAGTTTCGCGGTTTGGTGCTTGTGTGATCAAGCTTATTTGTTCGTCGGTGTGACGTGTGTGTGAAGGTTGCTCCAGAGACTTGGAGTATTGAAGTCTAGGCTCAGGGGGAGTTTAGCCCAAGATTAGGTTATCTTGGTTAAATCTAGACTCAGGGGGAGTTTAGTTAAGGATAGAGATTTATCCTTAAGGTTTCATGTTATAGTTCAGAGCGGTAGTTCAAGAGGGGTGTGCTTGATTTACGCGTTTGCAAATTGGTTGTATTTGCTTTCTTGTTCTAGTGAAATCGAAATCTGGACTTGGTCCCGGGGAGTAGGAAAAACCGAACCTCGTTAACAAACTTTGTGTCTCATTTATTTTCTGCACTATATTATTGCCTCATCCGCACTTACAATTGGTATCAGAGCGGGTTCTCGATAGAGATTCAGTCTTGTTTCGAGTAGATCAAGGGTGAGGATAGTAGTTCAGGACGTAAGTCAGAGCTGAGATTTGTGTGATGGAGTCATATAAAGAAGGAACGTCTATGACAAGACCCCCTTTGCTTGATTCAGCAAATTATGAATATTGGAAGGTTCGTATGGAAGCGTTTATTAGTAATCTTGATGAAGACTGCTGGAATTCGATTGAACTAGGTTGGGAGCCTCCTAAAATCACAGATGATAAAGGTGTTGAAATTCTTAAGCCAAAAAATAAGTGGACTGCTTCAGAAAAGAGGTTATCAATTTACAATGCTATTGATTCAAGCCACTTCAAGTTAATTTCTCAATGTGCATCAGCTCAGAAAGCATGGAAGTCATTGGAGAATATGTTTGAGGGCACTACTAGTGTTAAGAGAACAAAGCTGGATATGTTAGCATCACAGTTTGAGAATCTAAGGATGGAAGAGAAGGAATTTGTGGCTGAATTTAGTGCTAAGTTATGTGACATATCTAATGAGTCTTTTGCTCTTGGTAAGGTTTATAAAGACAAGAAGCTGGTGAAGAAGTTGAAGAGATCATTGCCTGCAAAATTTGAGCCAAAGATTTGTGCAGTTGAAGAAGCTCATAACTTAGATGAGATGGCTTTTGATGAGTTTGTTGGGATACTTAAAGCTTTTGAGTTAAGCAAAGTTCATGATGCTGGAGGAATTAAGAAGGAAGATGAAGCTGTGAAGAAGAAAGTTGACATTGGAGTTTCTCTTAAGGCTTCATCATCTGAAGATTCAATGGCTATGCTATCAAGAGAATTTGCTAAATATCTGAAGCGTAAGGGAAAAGATATGAAGAATAGAAGAGATGAAGATGTGAGAGGTTCATCAAAGAATATTCAATGTTTTGAATGCAAAGGGTATGGACATGTTCGTTCTGATTGTGCCAATCTAAAGAAGCATAATAAGAAGGCTATGAATGTTGCTAGTGATGATTATGAAACTGATTCAGAAGATGAAGAAGAACTGCTGAACTTGGTGGCGTTTACAACGTTCAAAGATAGTTCTGAAATAGAGTCTGCAACTGCGTCAGGAAAACCTGCAAATGCGTCAAGAAAACCTGCAACTGCGTCAGGAAAACCTGCAACTGCGTCTGAATCAGCAGCAAAACCTGCAACTGCATATGAATCTGCAAATACAGCAAAGTCTGAAACAGAGAGTGATAGTGATGCAGAGAGTTTTGATGATGAAGAGCTTGCTGAGAAGTATGAGATGTTGTATGAGCATTGGCTTAAAGTAGTTGAGGAGAATTCAGTTTTGACTAAGGAGAAGCTCAAGTTGGAAGCTAAAGTTGCTGAAGCAGAGAAGTATGCATCAGAAAAAGAAGAAGAAGCATCACAAGCTAAAGTACAACTTGGAGAAACTCAAAAGAATTTGAGGATGCTTAATAATGGCACAAAGCAGTTGGATGAGATTCTGAATATTGGCAAGATGGATAGATATGGCCTTGGTTTTAAAGGAAAACCTTCAAAAGAAGATTCGGTGTTTGTTTATGGTGGAAAAGTCACGTCTGCATCAGGAACTGTGTCAGAAACTGCAGCTAAGAAAGAGTCTGCATCAGAGACTGCAGTTGTTCAGAAGATTGGAACAAAAAATTCTAACTTGGAGAGTGAAGCTCAAAGAATTTTCCGTCCCACTTGTTATCATTGTGGTGTTGTTGGGCATATTAGGCCAAGGTGTTTCAGATTTTTGAGAGAGAGAAATCAAATGAAGAAGGCTTATGATGTGAGTTTTCATGTTCCAACATGCTATCATTGTGGAGTTAGAGGGCATATTAAGAGGAACTGTTTCAGATTCATTCGAGAATTCAGTCATGAAGACATAAGGTACAGGAAGATTTGGGTCAGAAAGGATCAATTATATGGAGATGGTGCATTAGGTTATCAACCTCGTTTTGCAAAGCGGGGAGTATTTCCCAATTAGTTTTTGACCATGTTGTGACTCAAGTTTGGGGGAGAATGGTGATGTTCTTGGTGATGTTATTTTGGAGTGAGAATTGTTACTTCCATGCAACTATTCACAAAAAGTTGTAGATGCAAGGTTTTTGTCTGATGCAGTGGCTGACTAATACAGCACGTGATTCAGGATGTTGATGTTTTATGTGTGTGCTTGGGTTCTAGAAGACTTAAGAAGACATGATTGGAGGATGAATGAAAAGTAAAATTAACTATTCTAAGCTTGGAGAATTGGAGTTTGACAAGGAAAAGGAAAAGAGCAAAAAGGAAAAAGGCTTTTCCTCATGAGATTTGGAAAAGTTCTCTTATGTGATTTGGGAATCATGGTGGCTATATATAGAGGTGCTAGGCACGACCTAGAGAAGGCAAGAGAGCAGAAGCATAAAGAATAATCTTTGAGAGCTTTCTTCTGGTTTTGTGTGCGGCTTAGTTTCGCGGTTTGGTGCTTGTGTGATCAAGCTTCTTTGTTCGTCGGCGTGACGTGTGTGTGAACGTTGCTCCAGAGACTTGGAGTATTGAAGTCTAGGCTCAGGGGGAGTTTAGCCCAAGATTAGGTTATCTTGGTTAAATCTAGACTCAGGGGGAGTTTAGTTAAGGATAGAGATTTATCCTTAAGGTTTCATGTTATAGTTCAGAGCGGTAGTTCAAGAGGGGTGTGCTTGATTTACGCGTTTGCAAATTGGTTGTATTTGCTTTCTTGTTCTAGTGAAATCGAAATCTGGACTTGGTCCCGGGGAGTAGGAAAAACCGAACCTCGTTAACAAACTTTGTGTCTCATTTATTTTCTGCACTATATTATTGCCTCATCCGCACTTACAAAAGTTACATTCATTCTTTCTTACGTATTGTCCAATAGTTCTATAAATTTCAGATCTACTACATACAAGAATCATTATTGCAAATAGAGAAACCTACCCATAGAGTTCAAAAAATCATAATTCTTATTTTTTAAAACTTTTTCTTCACCCCGGAAACTAATCAGTATATCTCAAATATAGTCGGCCAAAGACAATTTGTCATGCATCTATAGAAAATACATAGAGACATTACAAAACACGTGGAGTTACACTATCAATATATTAGTATTTCATAGTACAACTAGTAATAAAGTGCGAGTTACAAAACTCAGAAGTGGACAACATGTCATGTAATGACGAGACTAACTAGAGTTCCTAGCTATTAAGATTGTCCAAAAGAAAGAAAACAAGATGGCCAAGAAAACAGTAGTGGCCAAAACATTCTTCATCAGTCTCTGGCTATCATCTTTCTTGATGTGGAACGGGTTCGGGAATCTCCAGCTGGAGTCAGTGCCGGGGACGTTCTTGATCCTGAACAAAGCGTAACAATTCGTGTCTTTTGATTCTTTCTTTATACCACATTTTGACCTGTGACTCGATGCTTCACTGAGTATTGATTCTTGTTGAGTAGGATTAGTTGGTCGAAATGCTTGGCTAGCTTTCAATGCCTCTTCGTCGAGTTTTATTATATCATCGTTCAAAATCTCGGCGTAACAATCATCATCGGTATCGCCCTGATCCTACATCCCAAAAGACAAAGATCAACTCAATATACAAACTCTAAATTCAATCAATACGAGACAAAACTAGGGATGTTCGGCTCATGTTTTGGTTTGGGCCATTGGATTTATAACATTGGCCGTGACCAAATTAAAACCAAACATTGCAATAAAGACAAGGTAAATTCAGTTTTTAACTATATTGAATTTACCCGCATTAAACATCATTAAAGGACACCTTTCTCAAAAGCAAGCTGACCTCAACAACATTTGATGACTCCGCGATGTCACCATTCGATATCCGAAGTTCAGAATCGGAAACCGAGTGCGATTTCTCCTCCTTCTCCGAACCACCACCTCTTTGGCCAACGTATCCATCATCTTGCACAACACCATACTCCATTTGCTTTTGACTCGAACTAGCTCGAAAATCAGCATTTTTCCTTAATCGGCATACCACTAACGCGTCCTATTTAACCCAAACTTCATTATATCTCACAACATTCAAACTCAAAAAAGATATAGAAAACCATAAATACGAACCTGTGGAGCGCCATGGATGCAATATTCATGCATAATCCACTCGGTTCTCTCCCCGCGAGGAGCTCGACCGATATGAAAAACGAGTGTTCTCTTGGTTCCAACAACTTGGTTCCCTGATTTCACGCTCCTCTCTTTACCAGTAGCTTTCCAATATCCAAGCTGTGTAGCTCGACGGCTTTGTGACCCGTGCGGATACTTCCTCCCCCTCGCGCAGAAGTAAAACCACTCGTTCTCCGATTTCAGTTTCGATTCCTCTGTTTTTACAAACCCAAAATACAAAACTTAATGATCCAAAGTACAAATAAAAAAGAAACAAAAGAAGGAGAAACAAACCTGGCAAGTCCCACGGCTCGAACTTGTAAATCTCAACCTCAGCAATCACAGCAACAGATCTCTCATCACCATCAATCTTACGACGAAGATAGTAAGAGATAAGTTCAACATCAGTCGGAGAGAATCTAAACCCCGGGAACAAAGCCGACACAGCTATCGACATCTCAGCTTCCTTAGACATTGTTTTTGCTTTCTTGTTTTTTTTCAAGAACTCAAAAAATGCTTTGCTTTAGATGAATAAAGACACAAGCATGCTTTGTTATATGGCAAGTGTGAGACAGAACACAAGCACAGCTACTTTGCTTCGGGTAAAGGTTTTGTATGTTTTTTTGATAGTTTTGGCGGCTTCAAAGGATGACGTGGCGTATGACTGTAAGGAACGGGCGAATAACAGAAGAGTGTGATGAGATAGTAAAGGACAAAACTGGTGACGTGGTAATGTATTATTGGGTAGAACTCAAACCCAGACATGAAGTACTCTTGCTGAATGATGACGTGGTGATTTATTATTGGGTAGAACTCAAACCCAGACATGAAGTTCTCTCATTGATTCTTTCTTTTCTTATATCGTGTCTTCACTTTTAGACACTATCATATCTTCCTCGGTGTTTGTGTTCTGCATTAATATGTCTTTGTACTCAAAATGAATTGAATCACTTTGTATTGTTATTTAATTATCATATTCTTACATTTTTATACAACTTTTTTCCTAAAAATACTACAAATTTTGTATTTTTTTTTTTTAAATCACAAAAAATTATTTTTTCAAAATAAGTTAAAAATGTAAAATTTAATTTCTTTAAGTTTGAGTTAAAGATGTTATATTTAAGATATAGCTTTTAGTTTAGTCTATAGGATTTAGAGTTTAGACTTAACTTTTGAATTTTAAAATTTTCTATTTTAGTTTTTTTGTTAATTCTGGAAAAAATGAATTATGATGGGATTTTCAGAAAATAAAACTAATGATGGTATTTTTAAAAAGTTATCATTTTAGTGGTATTTACGATAATTCTCTTTTTTTATATGAATAATAAAAAATTATACTTTATATATTAATTTTTTTTATGAATGATTACATGGTAAACACAAAATTTGAACAACTATTTTTCCTTATAAGAAAATCTTACAATATTAATTGACAAATAATTTTCATTCTACTATCTTTATATTTATGTTTTCTGAAAAAAAAATATTTTCTTATATTACTTTAAAATCAAAAACCAAACCAGTTTTATTCCTTATAGTTATTGGCATATTACTCAATCACGTATGTTTAGGGATTCGATTAATATGTTTCCTTATTCTCCATTGTATATTTCTGAGAATATTATCATTAACTGCGATAGATACGTTATCTGTTCATATATGTATGTAATTCATTCTTCTGTGAGAAATAAGATTGATTCATTTCTTCATGGTATCAGAGCTAGAAAAACAAATCTTCTAAAAAAAACTCAAACTTTCTTCTCACCATGGCTGAAATCCCGAGCCCGACGAACCCGAATCCACAGAACACGATGAACCCGCTTCCCTTGAACCCACTGAACCCGATTTCTCCGAACCCGATTCCACCGAACCCGACCACGACGACGACAGAGGTGAGACGCACAATCTCACCTTATGACTTGACCGCGGCTGACAATCCAGGCGCCGTGATCTCTCATCCCGTGCTAAAGGGGATGAACTATGAAGAATGGGCATGTGGAATGAAAACAGCCTTGTCTTCACGAAAAAAATTTGGTTTTCTTGATGGCTCCATCTCTCGTCCTGCTGAAGGTTCACCCGACTTGGAGGATTGGTGGACGATCCAGGCCTTGTTGATCTCATGGATTCGAATGACTATCGATCCGGTGTTGCGTTCCAACATCTCACATCGTGATGTTGCCAAGGATTTGTGGGATCTCTTGAAGAAACGCTTTGCTGTCACCAATGGGCCTCGGATTCAACAACTCAAGGCTGAACTTACTTGTTGCAAGCAGAAAGGTCTTACGATTGAGACATACTATGGGAAGTTGAATCGTATTTGGGATACTATGGCTAATCATCGTCCTTTGCGTATCTGCAAGTGTGGGAAATGTGTTTGCAATTTGAATGAGTTGCAAGAACACGATCGTGAAGAGGATAAAGTTCATGATTTTTTGTCAGGACTTGATGAGTCATTTGCAACTGTGCGCTCGAGTTTGGTCTCACGTGTACCAATTCAATCTCTGGAAGAGGTGTACAATATTGTTCGTCAAGAAAAAGACTTGAGGAACAACTCTCACAAAACTGAAGATGTTGCAGTCACTGCGTACGCCGTTCAGCAGAGAAGCCGCGGTGGTGTTTCTGTTCGTGGTGATGAGCAAGTGGCTTCGTGCAAACATTGCAACCGGAGTGGTCACTCCTCAGACAGTTGTTTTGCTGTTATCGGTTACCCGGAATGGTGGGGGGAGCGACCCAGAAGCAGAACAACGCAAAGTCGAGGACGTGGTGGTGCGTCTGTTGGTTCCGTTGTTGGTCGTGGCCGTACTGTGAGCTTTGTCAATGCTGTTCATGTTCCACAATCAACCAATCAAGAACGTGTGAACTACGTTGTCACTGATAAGGATCGAGACGGGGTAGTTGCGTTGAATGATGTTGAGTGGGCGAATCTCAAGAAGCTGTTGAATGGATCTGCTGCTAGTTCTAGCAATAGAACTCTTACCAATAATGAGAAGCTTTCGGGTACGTTTTTCTCTCCTTCCTGGCTTTTGGACTCAGGTGCTTCTCACCATTTAACAGGAAATTTCGATGTACTCACTAATGTGAGAAACATGGAACCGGTTCTCGTCATTCTAGCGGATGGTCGAGAAAGGATCTCTCATCAAGAGGGAACTGTTGTACTTGGGCCTAATCTGGTTTTGAAGTCTGTTTTCTTTGTTGAAGAGCTGCAATCTGATCTCATCTCCATTGGTCAGTTGATGGATGAAAATTGTTGTGTGGTTCAGTTCACTGATCAGTTCCTTGTTATCCAGGACCGCGTTTCGAGGATGATGATTGGTGCGGGGAAACGTGACTGTGGAACCTTTCGCTTTTGTAGAACGGAGGTTGCTGCGACGGTACGCACTAAAGATCCCCAAGGTTTTGCGTTGTGGCATAATAGGCTGGGACATCCTTCTGCAAAAGTTCTTGCCTCTCTTCCGAATGTTTCTGTTTCTGTTGATTTTCCATCTTCCAATAAGGCGTGTGATGTATGTTTCCGCGCAAAACAAACTCGTAATTGCTTTCCAGTTGGTGATAATAAAACTTCGTTTGTTTTTGAACTCATCCATTGTGATCTTTGGGGACCATATCGCACTCCTTCTTCTTCGGGAGCTCGATATTTTCTCACTGTTGTTGATGATTTTTCACGAAGTGTTTGGATTTTTCTTCAAAATGACAAGACAGAAACCGCTACGAACTTGAAAAATTTGATTGTCATGGCTGAACGACAACACAGTCAACAAGTAAAATGGATCCGTAGTGATAATGGAACGGAGTTTACAAGTTTGGGAAGCTATTTTCAATCGCAAGGCATTATACATGAAACCTCATGTGTTGGAACACCGCAGCAAAATGGGGGAGTTGAAAGAAAGCACCGTCATATTTTGAATGTTGCTCGGGCTCTACGTTTTCAATCCAACCTACCGATCAGTTTCTGGGGTGAATGCATATTGACAGCCGGATATCTTATCAATCGTACGCCAAGTTCTGTGTTAAATGGTGTTACTCCGTATGAGAAATTGCATGGTGTAGCTCCTCGTTATGATCATATCAAAGTATTTGGGAGTTTGTGTTATGCTCACAATCAAACTCATAAAGGGGACAAGTTCGCTCCTAGAAGTCGTAAGTGTGTATTCGTCGGCTACCCATATGGCAAAAAGGCTTGGCGCCTCTTTGATCTCGATAAAGAAGAGTTTTTTGTTTCACGGGATGTCATCTTCTCTGAAGATGAATTTCCTTTTGCCTCTGCTTCTGTCGACAATCACGACTCAAAGGAAGAAGAAGAACCTGTTTTATGGGCTCCTATTTTATCCGGCCCTTTAGAGGAAGTTCTTAATGGATCACCACTTACTCCTTCTTTGGGCTCTCATTCGATCTCACCAGGCCCAATTACAACAAGTGAGAATGATAGCCGCCCCACCAGCCCATATGTTGCTTCTCCAACGACTGAATCAACGTCATCTTCCTCCTTCGTTATTTCAGACCCGTCGTCATCTTCCTCCTCGATCTCCGCTTCTTCCAATCCTGCGATTACACCTCCGGCGTCACCCATAATCCAACCGGACCTTCCACCGGTGATTGTCGAACCACGCCGTGGACAACGACAACGTAATCCACCGGTTCGATTACAAGATTATCAAACCAATTCCGCTCAAATACAACGGCTTGGTCATTCTACGTCTTTGTATCCTATACAAAGGTATGTCACTAATACACGGTTCTCAGCTACACATCGAGCGTATTTGGTTGCAATAGCAGATGGGGTTGAGCCAAAGACGTTTAAGCACGCTGCTAAGAGTACAATATGGCAAAAAGCTATGGGTTCTGAAATTGATTCTCTTGAGGAGAATGCTACCTGGACTATCGAAGATTTACCACCGGGTAAGAAAGCGATTGGATCAAAGTGGGTTTACAAGATTAAACACAATTCTGATGGGTCAATTGAACGACACAAGGCGAGGCTGGTTGCTTTAGGGAACAGTCAAGTTGAGGGCAAAGATTACGGCGAGACCTTTGCTCCTGTTGCGCGAATGCAAACAGTTCGTATGTTCTTAGAAGTTGCTGTGGGAAATAATTGGCCTGTGCATCAAATGGATGTGCATAATGCCTTTCTTCATGGGGATTTATCCGAAGAAGTTTACATGCGGCCACCTCCTGGTTACTTTGCTAGTGATGAGAAGAAAGTGTGTCGTCTGCGTAAATCTCTGTATGGCTTGAAACAGGCACCTCGTTGCTGGTTTGAGAAGCTGACAACGGCATTGCGTGATTACGGGTTTGAGCAATCTCTCTCTGATTACTCCCTATTTGCGTTTGATAAGAATGGGATTCGTATTCATATTCTCATCTATGTAGATGATATGATTGTGACCAGCAATTCCGACAAAGCCATGCATGTTTTCAAAGAGTACTTGTCTTCTTGTTTCAAAATGAAAGACCTGGGTATGCTGAAGTATTTTTTGGGTGTTGAGGTTGCACGGAGCTCACAAGAATTTTACTTGAATCAACGGAAGTATACTTTAGATATTGTTCATGAAGCGGGTCTGTTGGGATGCAAACCTGTTGATTTCCCGTTAGAACAAACCAACAATTTGTCTCGTTCTACATCTCCTCTGCTTCTTGATCCAGAACCGTATCGTCGCTTGGTTGGAAAACTGATATATCTACTCTCCACAAGACCCGATTTGACTTATTGTGTTCATGTTCTGGCACAATTTATGAAGAACCCAAGGGAGGATCATTGGGCAGCTGCGTTGCGAGCTGTGTGCTACTTGAAAGGAACCGCTGGTCAAGGTATCCTTCTCAAAGCACAAACCAATTTTCAAATTACAGGTTGGTGTGATTCTGATTGGTCCGGGTGTCGCAATTCACGTCGTTCGCTCTCTGGGTATTTTGTTCAACTTGGGGATTCTCCTGTTTCATGGAAAGCTAAAAAGCAGGACACGGTCAGTATGTCCTCTACCGAGGCCGAATATCGTTCTATGGCATATATTACTAAGGAGCTTCTGTGGTTAAAGCGTGTTCTACAGGACCTTGGTGTTCCTCATGATCAGCCAATGCGACTTTGTTGTGACAGTAAATCCGCCATTTACATAGCCACAAATCCAGTCTTCCATGAACGCACCAAGCATATCGAAAATGATTGTCATTTTATCCGGGAAAAGATTCAACGAGGTATTATCACTCTTGTTCATGTCGTTAGTGAAGCTCAGCTTGCAGACATTTTTACAAAACCTCTTGGACGACAACCGTTTGACGCATTTCAGTCCAAACTGGGCATTTTGAATCTCCATGCTCCATTTTGAGGGAGGGTATTGGCATATTACTCAATCACGTATGTTTAGGGATTCGATTAATATGTTTCCTTATTCTCCATTGTATATTTCTGAGAATATTATCATTAACTGCGATAGATACGTTATCTGTTCATATATGTATGTAATTTATTCTTCTGTGAGAAATAAGATTGATTCATTTCTTCAATAGTTTTTGCCGAAATCAGTATTTTTAAATTTTCTTATTCCTTGATGTAGGAGAGTCTAGATTTTGTGTAAACATTGACTTGGATCTTACCATTTTTTTAGGAAAACTATAAGAAAAATTGCAGATTGATGTAGAATCTGTATGCTTTTACATTGTTGTGATGCGTGAGTTGTTTTAATATGTTAAAGATTAGTTTTGTTCGGGTCTAGAGAAGGGTCTGAGTAAAATGAGAAAATGCAGATAGTAGTTGGTTGTGGATGATGTTAGTATTATACTTGTGTGACCTTCATTCAACAAGTTTGATCTTAATTTACGGTTGTGGCAATACTCTCGGATTCTTTGGATCGTTGATATTAGGTTGCTATATCATTCTATTGGTTACTGTCATAATATGTGTGAGAGATGTGATGAACTTCATTACGTGTACAGAATAAGAAGGATAAGGGAAGGAGTAGCACGTCAAGAATGAGAAGTGAACACGAGTATAGATTGTATCCTTATTTTGCATTGTGTTGTTGTAGCAAGTGACACAAGTGTTGCTTGTGAGAGAGAGAGAGAGAGAGAGCTTTGTGAATTACTGATGGTTTTTCTTATAAACATTGTTAATTTTAAAGACAAGCTTTTACAAGCTTCTTGGTCGGATACAAGACCTTGTTAAACAAAAGTTTGAAAGAAGAGGTTGGGAAATTTTGTGTAGTCATGTGATTTTTTTGTTACTCGTCCTTCCTAATCATTCGAGCTTGAATATATTACACATAACCTAAACATAAAATTAACCTACTAATCTAGCAAACTAAATTGGGCCTAAGCCCACATACGTTCGTAAATCGTAACAATACAAACAAAATTAACTCAATACATTTAAAAAGTCAATAAAATATGTACACATGTGAGTATGTGACATAACCACCAAAAAAAACTTCTTTAGCCTTATTAATTGACTAATTACCGAATTAGGTGTTACGTCAAACCATAACATTTTTAACGACTATTTTTCAAAACTTCTTTTAAAATTAAGAATAAACAAAAAAAATTTGGTAGTACGTCACACTTCTATAACCAAATAAATACCATTGTATATATATTTCTCAATTATTTTCATTATTACATATTAAAAAAAACAAAAAAAAACAAAAAGAACATTAATGTGTATATGTTTGTTTATTCTCTTTCATTATCATTTTCCTATCTTTCTTTAGTAATTTACCTTAACAAAATAAAACTCCACAAAAGAACAAACAAAGAGAACCCAAAGATCATACAAATCGTGTCTTGTGCTTTTTCTCTACACTCTTTCTTCTCTTTCCATTGTCTCTTCATCACAACGTATTCTTCATACCTTTCTTTGTCTCTTCTTCTTCTTCTCTCTTCACCATCTTTACAACATCTCTTACCTTCTAACAACCTTTGTAAAATTACCAAACTATCCTTTCCTTTCATACATTTTCCTTCTATGTCCTCCACTTGTAGCCTCACGTCCCTCACGTGCACTTCTCCTCCCACTTCTTCATCCACTTCCTTCCACGCTTCCGCTGACCCGCATGACACAACTGCCGCCACTTCCGCCGCGGCAGCCGCCACGATCGTCGAAAACCTTATCTCTAGATCGCCCGTTAGCCAGTTCCGCCTCGCGGATACCGCCTTCCGGCTCGATATATTAGCCGCCCGGTTCTTGATCGGATCGATCACTATCCAGTTCAGTCTCATGCTCTCTTCCATATCTTTCACCCACGCCTCGTAATCCCCACCCGGATATAAAATCCGGGTCTTAACCGACTCTTTCGGGTCGACTACATCGACCCGAAAAGGTGTCGTCAAGAACCATCCTGATTTACCTTTCCCTGTTTCCATCTCTTGTACCTTGGAGTAAATTAGCTCTCCTTTGTAATACAAATCAACGGCTGAGATCAATCCCATCGGTGGATCATCTACTCTCTCATACCTCCACGTCTCTTCAGTGAACGGGTACGAGTCAGCAAAGAAAGATCTATAACCAAAAGGGAAAGAAGAGATAGCTTGAACCACACGTGGATCTTTGATAGAAGGCCACATAGCCATTGAGAGGTCTTGCCATAGCTTTTGCTCTGTGCAAAGTTCTTGGAGATACGAAGATGTCGCCGCGGTCGAAGCTAGCGTCGGACCATCGAGTCTTGTCAAGATTTGGGTTTGGATTATGTCCGGATGAAGAGTTGAGATTGAATGATGATCACCATAACTTAACTCAACCGATGCCATTTTTTTTTTCTTTCTTTTGAATAAAACTCTATAAGAGAAGATGATTAAGAAAATTAAGAGAAGAAGTATATATAATATAGTGACTAAAGGGTTAATGATTAAAGAAGAAAGATAATAAAAAAGGTTGAGTCAACCATGGCTCTTTGAGACTATTCTACTTCAAGTTGAATGATCAAAGTTTCTATAGATAGTTAGATAACCACGCGTATACACACGTTCTATATTTTCTTTCCTTCTTTATCTTTTTATGGTGGTGACAATTTTATTTTCTTTCCGACACAAATATGATATAATCATATATATATATATATATATGGTTTTTTTTTTTTTTTATATTTATGTAGTCTTTGATTTTAGTTTTAAGATAGAAAGGTTCTTTTTGTTTTGACGAAAAAAAGAAAAAGAAGATTTTTTCAAGATATATAGGTCAAATATACAAGATCTACTTCTAGAAAGTAAGATTTATTTGGATTTGGTTTTGGATTCAGTCATCTTAATCTAAAATTCAGGATATTGGAATTATCATTTGAATCTGTATTTGTATATTCTTTTCCAAATATGTACAAGAGAATTTTGATTAGTAATTATGAAAAAAAATTTTGATATGAAATTTTTTAGTTCACTTGTAGAAATTAAATAAGATATTTTAAGATTATTTGAATTTGGTTTTGGTTTCAGATATTAAATATAAATTCAGGATGTTGAATTATCATTTTAATCTGTATTTATATATTGTTTTCAAAATATGTACAATATTTTTGAGATACAATATGATAGTGAAGTAAAGAGAATAAATGTTAACTAATTTTTATTAATTAGTTCATAAATATTTATGAAAATAAACTTCGTATGAAATTTTTTGTGATTAACACAATATTTATATTTTATAATTTTTTATTTAATTTTAACTAAGTTTTTGTATTTGAACTTGGATTGGATGGATATATGTATGCAGGTATCATTAAAACTTTGATGTTAACACTCAGATAGTTGTTCTCTCAATTTGCAGTGGTTGTCCAAATTGATATAGTTGTTATTTAAATCTGGCAGATTTAGATTCCAATTGTGATATTTAAACAGTATAATTCATGGTATTTACAAATTTGATAGCAAGTTTTTTTTCTAAAATCTAGACAATTTAAGATTTTCTGATATCTATTTTAATTTATGAAACTCTATGATTCTTCTATTTCCATAAAATATTATATTTTTTATAATCAGTACTGGTGTGTGTGTGACAGTGTTTAATCTTAATTTGGTTTTAACCAATTTTGTAAAATTTTGGATTTCTTTTTGTGTCCAAAGAAAAAGAACATTATCTTAGTAGAGAGATCACGTAATGTCTGCAACGAACTTCATATTTTCCACGTTACTTTATTTGTTTTGTTGACTTTTCTAACTTTTGATATTAAATTTAAGACCAAACAAGTTGGCCAAAACAAACAATTGTTGAATTTTTTTCTTTTTTTCTTTTTTTCAAACTGAATTTACTTCAACTGGTGATTTATTTGAAAATGTAAACGTTGAAAATATGGATTTTTGGTATTCAAGTTTTACACCAAGTAAGACAAACTTCGTGTACATACATAGCTTCAACTACATTCCTCTAAAATTTATAGTCTAAAAACATAAATAAATTACTCATTATTGTTTTGTCCTAAACTGCTAAATAATTTTAATAGTTTTTTTTTGTTTTTTCGTCAAAATAATTTTAACAGTTAAATATGTTTTTCGTCTTCACTATTTTATGTGAAAGGAAAATTAATTACAATCAAGCTAATAAAGAAAAATATAGAGCAAATGGACTTTATTCAAAACTAACAAAATATCAAAAGCTAAGAATATGTTTCAAGTGTTCTTTAAAAATGGTATAGGCGGTTGTCTAGCTACACTGTGGAGGTTACTTTTTAAGTGGTTTTTTAAGCAATATAATTCTACAAGGTTTTAAGATGTCAATAATATCATTATTCAATTATAACATAATTAGGATTGGTTCCGCGATACAACGCGGAAGAATATTTATCAATATGTACTATATACAATTTGTAATATATATAAAATATTGTAAATGATTGCATTTATAAAAACTACACATTTATAACATATGTTATGGCATATGGCATACCAATACATAAAATATTGCATTTGTTAAAAAAAAATATTCGTAAAAATTACACACTCACAATCAATATTCTGACGGACCAATCCGTATAATATATTACTATATAATAAAATAATATGAAAATTAAAAATTGTTGAGATTCTCTCTTTAATATAAAGAAACCAAACATATATTTAACCAAAGAAGAAACCTAACATAGTAAAGTGTCAAAGTAAAGTGGATATATATCTATTGATCAATTTATTTTTACTATTATCCTCTAGAAAACACGTCTTCCTATTGATGATTATATCTTAATATCCAATATGGTAAAGTTTCAAAGTGACGTAGCGTAAGCGATTTTGCTCTGAAAGAATGATTAGTGAGTGAGCTGTTATTTTCGTGTTAGTTATTACAAAGGACAAGTGTTGATATTCTCTATGGCTTATGTGTCGATTAATCAAAATTAAGACGTTTGAAAGTAATTATTTTACATATTAGTTTCATATATAAAATAATCGAAATTAAAAAGAAAGATTGATACTATTCTTCTTGTCCTTTTTAGTAAAATGTGAATATATTCTCTATTAAGTGAAGTGTAAGGCTGCAAAAGTGAATAATAATTATATAAAAAAATATTCCAAAGTGAAGTATTATTAATTAAATATTAAAAAAGATATTTTAAACAAATTATAGGAGCCAAAGAAGAAACACTAAAAATGGCAGCCCTTATCCGAATCATGTCCAAACAAAACCTAAAAGACTAAACAACTCTTTATTAATGTTCATGTTCCTCTATTACATCAACGACAAGATTATCATTTTTTTGTAATGTTGTGTGTGTTTTTTTTAATGTTGTTTGGTTTCGTTTCGTGGACACATTCTTATTCTTTCGTTTTCCCATCAAGTCACGATCACATAAGATAACTAAGAAGGTAAATCACAAGCAACTCAATGTAAAAAATATCCATTAGAGTAGTTGGTTTTAATGCTTTCATTATCCATGCTTAAGGGTTATAAATACGAGTCACATCCGTATAATATCTCCTCAATTTCGTAATTTTTTCTAATTGTCTCTATCTTAATGGTTCGTTTGGGGCCAGTTTAAGTTTAAGGTGGTGGGTACTGGTCTAGGACCAACTTGAGTTAGCACTTAGCAGCAGTCCATTAGATATCATGTCGCGGTTATATATATACATTCGGATGACCATTACAAAACTATCTTTCTCTGTCTAGCTTAAGAAGATACTACAAGAGGAAGAAGAAGGGATGAGATTCATTTAACAAAATCGATCATAAGCTTTGTTTTGACAGAGTAATAGCCTCTGAGTCGTCTAGAGTCTCTCACTTCCATTTAACCGGGATTAACAGCAGCTAAATCCGGAAATCCAATCGGTTTAATTTGCTAAACTAAAATTTCTATTTTGAGACATAAGACATTGAATGGTTATAGATTTTTAATGGTTTTCGGTTTTAGTTTTCCAAAAAACCCTATTTTAACTATTCAAGACTTTGAGAAAAATAGATTTCTTAAAAATTAGGAAATCTAGATTCTACGAGTTTTACTTATTTCTTAACAAAATCCAATATTTCATTTCGATGGGTTTTTGAGACTTTTTTTTTTACGTTGTCATTTTTTTTTTACAATTTTTATTTTATTTATGATTTTGCAAAATCGAAAAACTAAAATTTATAATCTAAAAACCTTTTAAAATCTACCAAACATTCATGGCCTAGAATGTGCACACGTTATGGAATTGCTTGTCATTTCGTCATCTTTCTGCGAGCCTTCCTTAAGATACTATTTTGATTTAGAATAACTTGAGTAAGATAACGACTTAACCGATAATATAGCTAGTTCTTTGTCTTTCATTCCCATGTAACCCATGTTCTACCTTGACGGGAAATTAATATAGCGATTTGGCGTATGCCATCTTAAGAAAACTAAATTGTAAGACATAAAGTAAGTCCTTGACTGAGTTGAGAATACAAATTAGGTAGTTCAGAAGAATCAATATCTATAGTGATCTTGGTAAGCATTGTCACGTTTTCATTATTCGGATTATTGAGTCATATGTTCAATTCTGCATTTATTGTGGTGGGATACACCCTGAAACTGATGTAAATTAAACCTATGCTCGTTACATATACGTGGTTATAGCTAGTTCTCATATATTTGGGACCCGGACACATTGATAACAGTTTACGGAAGTTTATGAATAAGGTAAGTTTTGAATGAATATTTCTAAAACCATACTTTATTAATATCATGTATCTATGAGTTCACATTGTTCCAACCAAAAATAACTTTAATTAAAACATAGATTGTGAAGCTAACGGACTATACTAAAAAGTGTAGATCAGTAACCCTTCTTGGTTTAGTTGTGTGTAGGGGAGTTTGGGACAATGCGCGCACAATTATCCTTGAGGAGAGGAGGGAAGAATGGATTCAACGGAAACATACGAGGCCAACAGTTAGCATCTAAGGCCGAAAACGCTTTGCAACATGCGCGTTCGATATTTTCAAACTTTCCGGAGAAAATTGATCTAGAGATTTCGAGCACACATCCTTCAACACTGAAGATAGTCGACCAACATTTTATCAGATCAATGGGTAAGCCGGGTGGGAGAAGGCCCGGAAGAGTTGGAGGCTTTTGCATTTGAGCTACTCCTTGAGTAACAAAAATGGTAACACAAAGGGAAACCAGTAATAAGATTGAGACAATAGCTTTGCTTCCCATTTTTCTTATTAACTCTTTTTGTCTATGTTTAAGATTTAGATGCTTGGGATTGTTTTAGATACATGATGAAACTTAGAATTTATAGGATCAGGAAAAAGGATTTTACTTGATAAATCGAAAAGTAACAGACAAATTTTACACTTTGTTTCAAAATGTAACTCATGTTTACCTTTAATGTATGTATTAGATTTTCTTAACTTATGCTGGGTTGACTAATGTAAATGTAGTGTGTTACTAGTCAGGTTGTGAAACAAAAATTTGAGAGTTACACTTTTCTTTTTATGTGACTTCAGTTTAGTTTCTTTATGATTACAAACTTGTAAAACCTTATTCAACTCTAATAATTTTAGTCTCAACTGAAAGTAGCTAAACCGGGTTCAAAGTCTGTTTGGTACAATTACAACTACAGATTGATTAGCACATGATTTGTTCGTTCTGTGGAGACAGTCGAGTCCAACCTCATTTAACACTTCCTTGTCCACTACAAATGTTAGGCTAATTTCATATGTACACTCCAGTTTCCATTTGTATGTTTTGAGAGATATAAATTAAAACTGGCTAATTGTTTGAAATTTTGGGTATTTGGTAGGCAAATTTGAATCCGATGATGTAGATAGAATAGCAACTTGGTATCTTTGATAACTCAATTCTTGGGGATCTATGAAATAAACAAGAAAATTTAGAGCTCAATAGTACAAATGTTTTCAAAATTTTGAGTAGTATCATCGGGCCATTGTTAGATTATCTAACCATTGGTGCAAAGACACAAAAGAACTTGTGAAGGGAACAATGGCTCATTATGTTGAGGCAAAGAAGAAACATAATAGTCCACAAGACTCATAGAGTCGAAACTCCCAGGTTATGTAACTTGTACTCAAAAACTCGTGCTAAGTAAAACTCTGCCTTGCAAAACAATAAATTTTACATATCTCATCGCCGAAACTAACCATGTTTTGGCTGCCCGGAACTCGTTCTATTGAGTCAAAAACAAAGTTGAGACTACAGAAGACACTTAGCGATTTGACATACTGATCCATGATGACTGAGTTCAAATACAATTTCTCGACTTTGGGATAATGCATGCACAAGCTCCCAACTCTTTTTCTTGTCATACTAACATCAGTGAGTACGATAAAACTAACAAACACCCTATTTCTGAATAACCTCAATTGGTTTGAAATGTTTTTTGCCTTAAAATTTTTAATCTAACAAGTTGTAGAAGACGAAAGAGAAGTATCAACTTTCACCACCTGTATGATTTGGCTTGCTGTCTGGTCGATCGTGTTTTGCAACTTTTGCCGTGTCGAGGATCAGGACCCGCCCATCTACCAACTGTTATCCATAAAACAAAACTTTCTGAGATATACGCAACATAACACAGTTGACGATTCAGTGTGTTCAGATTATTTCAAGCAAACATTCCCTTTATCTAACAGATCTTATTCTAATGCTCATCACAAGTATTTAACAACTCTGTTTCCGACAAATGGGAAAAATCTAAGTTCAACAGAACATTATTGCGAAAACCGTTTAGATGAAAATCGATTAATGGATGAAGCTTCTTAGAGTTTATCTGAGAGACAAGAGAAATGGAACTAACAGCAGTGAATTCTGAAATGGGGAAGAGGAGTTTTATACCTGGCCATTGAGTTCTAATAAAGCTTTTTCGGCTTCTTCAGTAGAAGAGAATGTGACATAAGCAAACCCTTTTGGTCTGCGTCTGAATTTATCCATAATCATATCCACTGAAGCAACCAAAAGTTAAAAACTATGAGAAGATGTTTATTATACAGGAACCCTTTCTTCATTAGAATGAATGAAAGCACAGAAACAACCTCATAGTGACAAAATGATAATATCAACTCTGATAAAGACAAAGAGAAATGGAAGTAAAGCTGTAGAACTAATTGCTGTGGAAATTAGAGACAGACCTTTGAGAACTTGACCATATTGAGAAAATGCTTGAGCTAATGTTTCTTCTGTGCTTGAGAAAGATACACCTGCAACAAAACAAAAGCCTTCAGTTTAGTGACTGTAACACAAGATATCACTGAGACTCGGATTATAAAAAGTTTGATACTTCAAGATAAACCTTATTGGTAAAGACACAATGGCACTTAAAGCAGCAAAATTCACACATAACCTTATTGTTGTTGTTTTTATCCAAAATCAAAATCAATCAAAACTCAACACCAAGAAAGATACACAAATCTGACAAGAATCTTCACAACATCAAACAAAAAAGACAACCTTTAACGGGCACTGTCAAAGTCACAACCTTTCAAAACCAGTTCACGATTCAAGGAATCAGAAATCAAGAAATGGGTAACTAGATTAAGCATCAGATAAAGCCGAGACGACAAAATCCTAGATATAACAAGAGAAAGGAGTGACCTTTAACGAAAAGCGTAGAGGAGAATGTTCTGGAGAAGAGCAGAGAAGGAGCCGAGCAACGATAAAGGAAATGATTGAGCATTTTAGGGTTGCGGCGATCCCACCGCCGGCGAAATTACACTGATCTCAATAACCTTTCTTCTCGCGGTTCTTCAGGATTCTCTCACCAATTCTTCAGTACATTGTTTTACAATAAAGTTTTTATTTATTTATTTGGAGTTTCTTTTATAATATACGTGACTCACATAATGTGAGTGTATTACTAGTGCTCTCTTAATTTTTATTCAATTGAACAAACTATACTATAGTACAAGAGGCCACAAACATAAGCATACATGAATACATGTCTATGTCATGGATGCACAGGTTTATTCATTATTCTGATGACAAAGGGTAATCGCCCAACGTTGGTAGGAGTACGAATTGGTATACTACTAATACAGAGCAACTCATGTTGTTACATTCTCTATTCCGTGGCTTTGCCTTTGCGTCGGTTGTTTCCGCCACAGCTCGTCTCCAGTACATAACAGACCATAGAGTCTACGTCATCCCCGAAAATGCTATAAGCTTCCATGGCCTGCGTGTAGCTAAATCCCATCGACAGTACCATCTCGACGCTGCTGCTCAGCACTGTCTTTTCTTTTACTGCCTCCTCTGGTTTCGAATCACTACCTGAAGGTCCTGCTTTAGAAACAAAAACAGTCTCAAAATGCTTGTCCGCAGTTCATTCTAGGTGAGCAGATTCAAAGTAAGAAAATACTTACTAGCTCCAGAGGATGATGTCTCAGCATTAGAGGTGGATGATTCCTTTGGACCGATTCGTGGCTTAGACCATTCCATAAGATACTCAGCACGGGAAGCTTCCATTACCGACCGCTCGATTTCCTTTTCAGTAAGCTCAAGGTCAGAGTAAAATCTCCCTTCTGCTAAGAGCGCCTGGAACAAAGACAGATATGTTAGCAGACACACACTCAGGCAGACTGGTGAATCTGTTCATGGATAATTATGGACTACTTACATTATCAATCTGATGTTCCTGCTGAGCCTTTATAGCAGCTTTGACCTGTTCCTTGTCCACGTGTCTCTGGATATAAAACAAGAAATATGATGTTGAAACAAAGATGTGCTTGCTACCTTTCAAATAAGAGATAGAACTCTACTTACCCCACTAAGACTGCTAAATCCAAGTCCTGCACCAACTGTCAACCGATGTGGATCCACCAAAGAATTATAATGATTCCCATGGTGGAAACTCAATCTTATGGGAGGTGTATCCGTGCTGTAGTTTCCTTGAAATATGTTGATAGGCTCTGCACAGAAACATTACATTTTATTTTCATAAGTTTCTTTTTACAGTAAAGAACATGAACTTCTTATGTCAATCTAAGTTGCACCTGTGCTATATGAGTATATGTGGATTGGCCTATTATACATTTCTGCTAAAGCTTGGATCTCTATGTTGTTTCCATAGACCTATCACCATTGTATAAAATAGGCGTCAAAGAGGATGGAACCAAAAAAAGCTAGCAAAGTGAAGTCATGGCTAAGAGCAAAGCACCTTATCTTTTCTTTTCCTCTTCAAGTAAGAGGTAAAACCTTCGGTTATGAACTGAGAAAAGTGATCCCTCTCTTGTTCCTAAACAATTCATTGTTAAACCAGTAAGTTCTCCAAATTGTTACCACAGCCCTAAAAACCCTAATTCTGTGCTCTGTCCAAAACAAGGTACTTGCAAAACATGATTAGATTACCAGTACCAAAATTTAAAAGGTATATCAGTAACACATACAAGTACGTGCTGTTGTTACTCTCTTGTTCACTCCACTTAACTAAGATTGATGCTGTCTTCTTGGTGGATCAATGATAGAAACTAAGAAGGCAATACAGTCTACCAAACATGGTGAATAGCTTAGCCATAAAGTACAGTCTTGGCAAGTTTACTTCATTTATCGTTTTTTAGTATATCTCTCTACAATGCTGTTGTCAGATGTAAGTCAAACAAACCTAGTTCGGAAAGGAAAGAAAAATTACCATGTAATCCATGCACAATTGTCTAGCCAAGTCATATGCCTCTGAGTCCCCATATACTTGATCTGCAACAGCTCGAAAAAGACAATTTCCATCTTCCAACATCCGCCTAATTTCGAAGCCTTTCGACTCTCTAATCTCAGCTTCAAACTGGTGTTCTCTTTCCTGTGAGATAGTACTTAAATTAATTCATTGAAGACAAAGACAGATAAAATATGTGAAGCATTCATACAGTCAACACATTTAAAAAAAAACTTACAGGGCCAGAGCTGGAGCCAAGATGAGAGGACACATAGCATGGCATATGCTCATCAGAACTGTTATAGCCTTCGTTCTCACTATGTGATCTTGGAGAAGAAGGATGTGATCCAGTTGGTGAACTCCTATTAACCAGAGAGCGAGGCCCAGCACCTCTTCGTGTTGGTCCAATTCGTAAAGTGCCAAAACTTCCCAAGACCAATCTGTTATTGCCGGAATTGATAGTAGAAGAAGGTTTTGGTGGCGGAGCGGGTACAGATGGTAAATCAGGGTTACTGCCACCACTAACTGGAGAATCACAATCTATACCTTCTCTTTCAACATGAACATTATCTGAAACTATCAAACCTTCATCATCTTCTCTATCCAAAGGTTCATCACTGTCCACTACTACATTCTTAGCATCAGAACACTCTGCTTGATCAACTACAGAAACATCATCTTGTTTTTCATCACTAATTTCTTCATCAATAGTTACCGGAGGAACCTGAATACTATTGTTTATCTGTGGCTCTGTTTCTGAGGAAGAAGCTGAACCTGAAGATGAAGAAGAGCGGCTCGAATTGGAAGAACTGCCTGAAGAACCTCGTTGAACCAAAATCCGAGTCATGTTGCTTCAGAATTCTTTGTCCTAATCAAATACCAAAGATTAGAGATTATCCCAAGGTTTGTCCCTTGTTCTTGCCTTAGGCCCTACGATTACAATCCCTTGAGATAGGGATTCCTCCCAACCGTTCTCCACCTCGCAGCAAAACGTTCTCTGCATTCCCCTACCAATCATCAAGATTCCCAAGTTTTTCAAACAATCCAACACCTCCTAATTTCTTGGAAATTTAGATCTAAACCATTCCCCCATTAACACAACCTTTACTAATTCTACTTAACCTTTACAAATCAATCCCGAAACGAACACGAAACTGACACAAGCTGCAGTAATTATAACTCAAAATTCCCCTCTTTTTCCCAATATTTTCTTGGAAACGATACAGGACGAGGCTATAAACACGACGAACACAACACAAAAACCAATCAATTTGACATTTTTAACCTAAAAATCAATCAAAGAAAGGGATCGAAACGAAACGATAAGCAAATGACGATAATCGAAACCCTAAGAAGTTGACCTCAGTAACGAAAAACTCACCGGAGATTTCAGCAGCTGAGAATACAGATTCGAGATCCACCGGAAAGAGTACAAGTTCCCTGAAGAATGTAGCAGAACTCGAAGATTAGGGTTTCGCGAAACGAAGAAGAAGACGCTCTCAGATAAAAATATAAAACTGGAACGATGATTTTTTTTTTCTTTTTTTTTTTTGGTTTAATTGGAAAATTTGAGAAGAAGCTTTTTTTTTTTTTTTTGTAACAGTCGTTGGGGTTGGACGAGACGGCCAAGGTGATGACGTGGACTCAGCGACGCACTTCTTCATTGCGTTGACACGTGTTCTCATCGTTGTTGATGTTGTTTCTCATCTGTGGATTTTATTCGTTGGGCCGACCTTAGAAGAAAGCCCATATCTAAATAGTGTCTGAGAGGAAATACAGTATCAGATTTTGAAGTTTGTTGATTTATTTATAAAGTTAATAAATTTTCTAATCAATCTCCAAACATATGTCAAAACTGTAATTGACAAAATAATGTTATATTTACTGTAATTGAAAAAATAATGTTATATTTAATTATTTATTAGATTTTAACCCATATTTTAGTATTTTTAGTTTTATAATTTAAAATATGAATTTCAAAGACCTTTCATAAATAGTATATAAATTGAAAAGAGGATTATGTTTTTTAAATTAATTAGCTTAGTTTTCAAAGTTGTGACACTATCAAGTAAAATATTATTTAGATTTGGATTTTTTTGTTTATAAATAAAGGTATCCAGACAAAAACCTAATATATATAGTTGACTTTTTAATACAATAATTTAAAGTTATTTTAAACATGAACGTGATGATTATGGAGTTTTTTTCTCTCAAGATGTGTTCTTTTAAGAATTTCTTACAAATCGATATATCAAAATGTTCTTTTAAATTGATACTCAAACTCATGCTATCAAAAAGCATAATAAGAAAGCATATATTTTAGACAAAGAGAAGTTAAACACGCACAATATTCGTATAAAAATAGATTATAAAAGAAGAAAATAACAGCTTAAAGAGTCCGTTAGCGAATAAGGTTTTAAACAAAGCATCGTCAAATTCGCTCCTTAGTTTCTATCATCGATCAGTATATAATACATATTTCTGCTTATGTTAATAATTTATTTTCGAAGTTTGTGTAGTGATCTTGTAAACTCGTTAAAGTATTAATGAATTTGTAAGATTTTAAACAAAGCATCGTTAAATTTTGTAAGATTTTAAACAAAGCATCATCAAATTCGCTCTTTAGTTTCTATCATAAATCTGTATATAATACATATTTCTGCTTATGTAATAAGATCCGCACGTACGTGCGGCGTTATTTTTACAAAATTACGATTTTTTAAGTAGATACTATTTTGGTAAAATTTTGTTATATGAGTTTATTTGATAAACTATATATAGACATACAGTTGTAAAATATAGATATTGTATTACATAATAAACTTTTAAAATTACAATTTTAAAATTATTTAAATGAACATGATAAGTAATATTACGTGTTTATTTTTTAAACTAATCAAAACATTTCTAACTGTTTGCTTAGAGATGTTAAATCGGATTTGGGTTTGGCTTTAGTTTGAATTGTTTTATGTGTAGTTTAGAATGGAAAACCCGTCCTGTCCCTTTCCGTCCCGTCCCGTCCCGTCTTCTATCTGTCATAAAATTTCTGTCTCATAATCGTTTCTTTTTAAAACATAATCATTTGCCAATGTTTATTATAAGAAACTTGGTAAAAGATTTAGACGGGATATTCGTATTCCTCGTTTAAATATTTATTTTAATCAAACTAATAAAAATCTAATTATCAATCTAAGTCACATGCTCCCACCATTTTCATTCTCAAGGCACTGTCTGTAATCCTAGCATACACAATCTTTGTTCGATTTTTAATTTTATTGATCTTTCAGTTTCATCTTTATTTCTCATTACTTTCTTCAATTCAAAGATTCATGTTTTAGCCTTTTTGTTTTCTAAAGATTTAGGTATTTCTATTTTTTTAATACATGGATTTATCGTAGTTTTG